TTTAAGGTACTGACTGATTTTAAGAAAATGGCTATGACAAGTTCTCTTCCCGCTGGCGAGGGACAGGACCACAATGGGGGAGGGTCAGATTTTAACCTCCCATCCCCCATTGCACTCCTAGGCCACAATCCAGGGGGATTTATGGACTAATCCCGCTCACAAACTCCCACTGTGGTTTTTCATTCAGCATCCTGTTATGCATTCCTCAGTTCCAGGATGCCTTTAAAACCCAGGGGTGGTTTCAAAGTAGCTTGCAGTTTAGAATTAGGCGAAGGAGAGAAGATAGATTCTGGCGGTGGAGGGAAACCCTTGTGGAGAGGAAGCAAACATCCCACAGTCCCCACATTCATAAAAAGTTGCCAGAACGAGGTTCAGAATTGTTTCTCCAAAACTTTTATTTCAGGGATCCTTTCATTTAATTCATTCAATAAGTACTTTTTTCCAAAATCCCGCCCACCCCCAACTTGAACTTAAGATTCCGCTTCGCCCATAAAAAAAAGTATAGTGATAATTTGGGATGGGGGGGGGTCCAGAATGAGATCACTAATTGTGGGCGGCGCACCACCAGAAGGTTCTACTGTGCTTGCCTCTCTGGAAAGCTGATTCTGCATCAAAGAAGAATGTGCTTTTCAGCAGCTTCTGCTGAGTTCAGTCGGGCACGCGCATGGACGGTCCCCCGAGATATTTCACGGGCATAGTGAGGCCAATACATCAGTGCACAGACCAGAGCGGCAACTCCCATAATCATCACGGCGGGGAGAGAAAGTCCACCAGATATCGTTCAAAAACACAGGGTGCTTGCTTATATATGTACCCTTCTCTTTTTAAATCTGCAGCACCCCTTCTCCCTCCCCCGCCTGTATAATGCACTTGGCAGATGTATTGATCTAATTTGTCTTACTCCTCTCCCATGCTTGATTGCCAGGTGGGGTACTTATTTTTGTTTTAATTCAAGGCACAGCAGGAGCACTGGTTCCTTTAAACATTTGTCACTTTATTTTTTATTGTTTTAAAACATGAAAATCCATTGAGGTATAAAACATCTTTGGGGAGGTGGGTTTGTGACCTTACACGTGTTAGCCAATCAGTGCTGTACACAGCTGAACCTGTTGTAGAGTGGCCGAACGGGTTTCCCTGAGATTGATCTTGAATAGAAAATTGTACATCTGTATACATCAGGGCAAGTGTGCTGTTGCAAAGACTTCAATGTTCAAATAGTGTACATCTGTAAGCACCCTGGAAAGTATATATATATATATCTTAAATTACTATTACAGAATTTTCGGTGTGCACACATACATCTCCTGCTGTATATGTATGGGTGCGTGGAGGGAGGGGTTAAGTTGGTTTGCCAATTTTAATTATGTGGCTATATCTCTCCCTTGGCCCCATCCCTTAAAGATTATTTGATGTTTAATTCTTAGAAGTAATTGCAACTGGATGAGATTGCCAAATGCTGTTGGAAAAATATTTTTGTGAAAACTCCTACAACACTCCGGTCATTCATTTTATTCAAATGTATGTCTGATATAGAGAATGTTTTTTTTCCAGTTATATAAATTACTACTGATACTATGAATTCTGATTTAAAGAAAATTATTAATACCATATGTAGAATATCGTGACTTCAAAACAATTACAAAATCTTCAAACCCGACAAGTGTGTATATCTGTCTTTAGAAATTAGTGTTTATATCACTACAGTGGTTTGTGAATAAAGATCAAAAATGGTTTGTAATATTAAAAATAATAAAAGCTTAGTCTGAAACGATATAAATAAAAAATGGTGTTCAGAGTTCTTGGTTTCTTCATCTCTCTGCTGTGATCGTTTCGCAAAATATGCCTGGATGATTATCTCATTCGCTCTGTTACTACACGATGAATTTGGCAAAGTACACACCCAAGACTATTGTTGCTGTCAACCCCGGTACAAAGATCCAAATCCATACCCCCCCCCCCAAAAAAAACATACATACACTCACTTCAAACATATTGTCTTCCTCCCACAGAGCAAGAATGAGCAGAAGGGGACAGATAGGCTCCAGCCTATAATCTTATGATTTGTGAAAGGAAAATGTCTATTGTACTTCTGAAGTGACATAAAGACATCACATTGAGGTAACAGGCTTTCAGCCTGGGTCCCCCAGTTTCCCAAGTAAAGTACCTTCCCCCTTGCTTGCTGAGTTGATTTGGCGAAGGATTAGGTCATGCCCAAAGACTTCCGTCCTCCAAATGTGAGGCCATATCATAATCTACTTTGGAAGATTCCCTCAGTGGGCGGAGGGCAGGAATTCGAGAAAGGAAAGGTCCCAGGTGCTCTCGGGCACATAAAATCGTTAATGTGCGGGGAGGGGGGGGGTTTGGATCCTGGCTTACAACTTTTAAAAGTGCAGTCAATAGTAGGGGTTTATTGAAATTTTTCGGGAAATCCGAAAAAACCCGAATATCTAAACCGGTAAAGTATAGGCATCCAAAAAAATCGGGTCCATTATAAACAATGGGGCCATTGAAGTCAATGGCAAAACTCCTTTGCAGGGGGCTGTGGGGGAGGGGGTTTGGGGTAGAGGCTCCAAATGTGGACCGTGGCTGCTCCAGCCTCTTGCCAAATGACCCCCAAAGTTTCAAGACGTTTGGCCCAGGGGGTCCAATTCCAGGGGCATCCAAAGAGGGTGCCCCCAGATCAGCTTGCTGTCTAAGTGCCTATTGCCGGTTTGCCGCCGAAATTCGGCCACATTGTATCCTATGGGCCTTGGGGGCTTAGATATTCGGGTTTTCAAGTGAATCCCGAAAAAATTCTGGTCCAATACATCCAAATCTGAATTTTACCTTTTTTTTTTCTTTTTGCAGACCCCTAGGATGGGGGTTTGAGGGAGAGGCTCCAAACTTGGAGGGTGGCTACTGGAACCTCTCCCCAACATTCCCATGAAGTAT